CAAACCCTATACTAGGGTACTTCAAAAGTTTGTGGAAAGGTTCGTATTACCTTTTAATTCTATTTGTTCGCAAACTTTTTGAAGTACCCTTGTATCATAACTAGGGCAGTCTCTTTACTGTCCCTTGAAGCTAATTCACAGTGTTCTGCCCTTGCTTATGCCCTTTCGCAACCACCACTCAGAATACCCTTCCCACCTTCCCCCTCTGCTTCTCCAGCTCCTGGCCATTCAACTAAGTTCTGCTTCTTTTTTGAGTCTTTCCCAAAGATCATCTTTTATGTCTTTGGTTCATTCATAGGAACTAACACATTGCTGCACCCATTGGAAGGGTTCCATAAATACATGTTAAATAAATGAGGGAAGGAAATGGAGGAACTTGTAAAAGAGACATTTAGAGACTTGTAAAAGAGACATTAAGAATAATAAGCTTTAGTAAATAATGAAAGACATATGAGTAAGAGCAGTTTCAGAGCCAAAATAAGACGAACAAGCCTACTGAATGGAGATACGGGTTTCTAGGTTCAAGGTAACGGGTCAAAGTTAAGTTCTAAAGCTTTTCTTTACCTGTTTCTTTGGCATTTCTGACCCACGACAGTGAGAATTCTTCCTCATTCTTTTTTACTCATTGCTTTAGTTTTTGTTGTGAAAATATTCTCTTCCAGGTTGGGTGATCTTTCAGTTTTTCAGTTGTTTATACATGTAAACAACTAAAAACAGAAAAAAATGTAATAATTCTGTCTGTCTCTATCTGTTCCCCACCTCCACTTTCTACCACATATCTCAGCATTCTGGTAGTACTTTCTTAAACTACCAACACAATCCAAAATAGACTGGTTTGAGTTTTAACTGCTTTTACTTTTTCCTTCCAGTTCTCTTAAAATTTCTAGCAAAATGCCCACAAAAGCAAGCAACTAAGAGAATAAGGAGAAGGTATTCTCCCCATCCCAGTTATTTAGTCCCTGAAGTGTTGATTGGAAGAAACTGAGGTTTCAAAATGAGTTCCAGATTTAGTATATGTTAAGAATTTGAGGTTTCTCCCACATGGATAATTTAAATTTTCAGAAAATAAGTTATGTTATAGCTGAATGGGCAGTGACCTAGCCAGAATTTTAACTTACAAGATATATAGGAATAGTGAAGATTAATGTGAAATACTTGTAAAGAGCCACTGGTAGGGAAGATAAGACAGTAATATGCTTTCAGTGAAATTGTCAATTTATAATAATATGCATATTGAAAAGGGAGGGTGGGTTAGATCCTGTTAAGTTTGGTATATTAAAGAAAGAATTGGGATATTGCTGGCTCATTAACTGCCTTTAATGGGGGAAAAATGTCATAGGCAGGGAATAGGAAATTTTGGTTGAATGTGCAATGTCTTAGAGTTAGGAATAAGAACAATATTTGAAATGATTGTAGCAGACTTCTGGGTGGGTTTCCAAGACTAGAGGACTTTGCTTGATATGTGATAGGAAATAAAGAACAAACCTGTAGGGTTTTTTGTTGTTGTTGAATCTCATTGAAATCTTGCATTTGGTCATTAGGTCTAGCTGTTTGGCTGTAACGTGCTGTGGAATCAGGTGCTTCCCCAGATGTGGCCCTCGCTAGTTATCAGATCTTGGTCATGTTGTTCATTCTTGCACACTCATTTCTCAGATAAACACCTAATAGCAGTCTAAACCTGCAGTTGGTTCCCTTTGATACTCTCTTCTTTGTTAAGATTTACTTTTTGGTAGATATAATAAACCTTGCTCTCCCTTGTAGAGTAAAAGGATGGAAAAGCTACTAATTGTAGAGAATTTATGGTTCAAAATGAGAAATCTCCCTTATATTTTAAGCTGCTTATTAGGAAAATTTAAAATCAACTTGTTTAAGTTCATTGCTTAGCCTATTGCATTCTCCATTCAAAATGCAAACAGGAAAATCCATGATTCTGTCTTCTGGACTTTGCTATCCAATCACTCCATTGTCAGAATCCATCTCCTCTGCACTGTGGAGAAGAGGAAGGCCAGTCATGGAAAAGGACCTGGTGAAGGTCTTTGCAAACCTATAAAAAAAATTAAGGGTCTTCTTTCTGCATAATTCCTAAAGATATCTACTTAGCTGAATCTCATCTGTTGAGATTTTTAGCAACATATCCTTACTCTCCAAAACTTAACAGTGTTCAGTGCTTGCAGGCTTTAAGTTGTAAATTAAAGTTATTTTATTTCAAAAGTTGTAAGTTAGTTGCTAGAGCTTTAAATGCAGTTGCATTCATAGTTAGCATTTATTAGTTTCCCACTGTAATTTAAACACTGTGTTTGGTACTCAAAAGAGTCAGAGAATAATAAGGTATTCTTAAGGAACTAGAGAGAAGGCAGATTTTTTATTTTATTTTATTTTTTTGGCTGCTGCCTGGTAACAGGGCTCAAACCCTGGACCTTGGTGTTACCAACACCACGCTGTAACCAGCAGAGCTAACTGGCCAGCCCAGAGAGAGGGGTGATCTAGCCCAGAGAAAGGGTAGAACTTTAGGAGAAAGGGTGTTTTTAAGGAGCTAGAATATGATATATATATTTATATATCACATTCTACCATACTATATCATATATATACACATATGTATCTCTTTCATATATATTCATATATATATATGCAAATAATAAAAGGAGAATACAAAGTAATAGGGGAGTACAGAGAAGGTAGGACATTTCTTGTAGGAGATGCAGGAAGACTTCACAGAAGAGCTATTATTTATTTCTGTTGATGAATGAGAGTATTCAGTTTCTCATAGAAGTAACTAAGATTCTCATCATGGTCCTGGCCTCCAAGTCCCTTGTGATCATTAAGTTAATTTTAGAACCTTAAGAGGCCTGGCTAAGAGGAAGAGGCTCTAGTAACTGACCAGCTGGTAATGTCAGTTTGAAAAGGCTCCGGTAGCCAGGAGGTGACAAGAGGATTGGCCCAGTGATTGTACTTCAGTTTAATTTTGTGACCTTTTCTTTCTTGAGTCCCTGCTATGTATTTAAAACACTGTATGGAGGCTAGGATAAATAAAACTATATCCTTTCCATTCACTAATGAGTGTAGGGTATAAACACATCATACCTTTAAGTATAATATAAGGCAGAGTGGTAACTGGGATGTAGAGATATAACCAAAGAGCTATGGAAACACATAGGAGGAAGCTACTGACATGGTATTTCCTGGTGGAAATCAGTTAAGCCTTCATACAGGAAGTAATATTGGACTGGGCAGTGAAAATGAGTGATATCTTAAAGGTAGAAAAGAAAGGAAAAGGCACAGTGTAGAGAGGAAATAGCATAAGAAAAGTGTGTAAACACAGGATGTGAATAGTCCAGTAATGCTAGAATGGCCAGGGATAAATAGGAAAGGTAGGGTGGGGCTGGGTTGTGAAGGACCTTAAGTGACCATGCTACGAGATGAAGACTATTCTGTGTGCAGAAGGGAGCCACTAAATGCTTTTAGCAAGGAGGTAACAGGATCTGATTTGTGTAACATTCACTGTGCTATGAATGGATGGCTTAGTGGGAAATGAAGTAGATGTAGTTCATAAGCAATAGCATCAATCTAGGACAGCAATTATAAGAGTAGGAATGGAAATAGAAAGGAGATGGATTCAAGACACACGGAGTAGAAGCATTAAGAGTTTTATTCCCAGCTTGCAATGGGAAATGAGAGGGAGAAAGAAATTAAAGATGACTCCAATGTTCTTAGTAGCAGGGATGGTAATGTCATTAATAAGGATGAGAAGAGCAAATTTGATTTTGGAAAATGGTGGGTTTTGAAGTGTTTTCTCCCAAGCAAGTATTGGAAGTTCATGTCAGGATTTCAAGAGTGGTACCAGGGCCAGAGATGAAATTTGAGAAATTATCCCCAAACAAGTGATAGTAGAAGCTGTGGGACCAGAGAAGTTAGCTCTGAGAAAATATAGAGCAAGGAGAAGCAGTCAAAATCAGCAAATGCCTACTAGAAAGTACCTTCTGTAGAAGGTAAAAAGAAGGAAAGCAAAAGGAATAAAACTAGCAAGGGGAGGAAAGAGTTTCAGAAAGTAGCAGGTGCTTAGCGTTCTCAGGTGCTGCGGTTGCGGGGAGTGCAGTACACCTGGGTGTGAGGAGCTGTACCGTCATAGGGGTTGTTCATACGTAAAACAACAACTCTCTATCCTTTGCTCATTGCTCATTGTCTTAGTATTCCTCCCCAGGACTCACCCTCTTACCTCCCATCTACTCCCTCTTAAAAACAGTGAGAGGGGAAGAAAGAAAGGGGGGGCAATTGAAGCCACTCTAAAAAGCCACCTTTTAATGATAATAATGTCATGTTTTCTAATTTTTAAGTGGTCACAAATGTGTTGTTTGAAGTAAAAACCCTCTTACCTCCCATCTACTCCCTCTTAAAAACAGTGAGAGGGGAAGAAAGAAAGGGGGGCAATTGAAGCCACTTTAAAAAGCCACCTTTTAATGATAATAATGTCACGTTTTCTAATTTTTAAGTGGTCACAAATGTGTTTGTTGTTTGAAGTAAAAATGATATGAAAATTCTGGGTCCAGTTGAATAGGCTTACATGTATTTACTGGTTCTGATGTGGTCTTTATCAATCCAATTTCATTTTTGTTTTTAAAGAAACAAGTACCACGCATGTTACTCTGTTTGGGCTTATGAAGGGAACAGTGCTGTTTTTGCTGACATAAACCAATCATGTTTACTTTTTATTTTTTCTTTTTATAACTTTTGGCGACTGGCCGGTATGAGGATTCAAACCCATGACCTTGGTGAAATCATGTTTACTTTTAGTTAACAAGGAATCTTTTGCAGTCCAGCTCATCTATATCTCTATTTTACTATTACTTTTTAAAGTTTAAGTGGCTGGCTATGTAATTTCTAAACGTTCTCCTTTCGTATTTGATATTCAGACTTAATGATTTGGAACCTTTACTCTAGTGACTAGAGACCAGTGTTTTCTGGGTGATGATAACGTGAGTTGTGTCCCTGTGCCTTTCTAGATTTTGGCTTCAGTAACCTCTTCACTCCTGGGCAGCTACTGAAGACCTGGTGTGGCAGCCCTCCCTATGCTGCACCTGAACTCTTTGAAGGAAAGGAATATGATGGGCCCAAAGTAGACATCTGGGTAAGAAACTGCTTTCTATTATACCTCATAGCATTAGATGCCCTTGATTGATGACAGCTTCTCCTCATCCTTGAGGAAACATAATGTTGCACATGAATTGAGACATAGTCACCTGTTCTTTCAATTCCCAATTCTTTGTGCAAAGTCTTTCCTCCAGCATTTGTCTCATGGGCTGAGCCATAGGTTTCAAACTCTGCCTTTGCTTCTGCAAAAGAACCCCAAAGGCCAGCTTGGATGGGTGCTTTTGTTAACAACAGACATCCTTTCTATTGTTGCTATTTGCCTTTCCCCTAGCAGATGAGTACAGAGAAAAATTTGGGATCTTACTCTAAATTAATATCTGGAAGCAAAGAAGATTGTTAACTATTTTAATGATGATTGGTCTTGACACTGTCTCATATGGTTTCTCATAAAAAAAAAAAGGAAAAGTTTGTTCCATTATCTTGTGCATGACTAAAATTTGGGATCTTACTCTAAATTAATATCTGGAAGCAAAGAAGATTGTTAACTATTTTAACGATGATTGGTCTTGACACTGTCTCATATGGTTTCTCATAAAAAAAAAAAGGAAAAGTTTGTTCCATTATCTTGTGCATGACTCACCTTCATTCACACATTGTAAGTGCCTCTTTTGTTTCCTCTGATGCAATTAATTGTACATACTCTCTGTTTGGGATGCAGAGCCTTGGAGTTGTCCTCTATGTGCTTGTGTGTGGCGCCCTGCCGTTTGACGGGAGCACACTGCAGAATCTGCGGGCCCGGGTATTGAGCGGAAAGTTCCGCATCCCATTTTTTATGTCTACAGGTAAGGGAGTTGCCATCACACAGCTATGACTGGGTTCATGGGAAGTTAGACATGCTATGTTATCTCAGAAATGTAGTGATGGTGTATAAATGGCCCACGTAACTTTTTTAGCCAATTTACTGACCTGGTACTACCAGGAGGCAAGTTTCTATAGAAACAAAATATATATGGGCTTTGGCATCAGGTAACCCAACCTGGGTTTGAATCTGGGCTCTGCACATTACTAAGTCTGTCTGAGCTTTAGTTTCCTTATCTATAAATTGGCTGAGAGTTTTATGAGGGCTATTACTATATGGATTAAATTAAATAATGTATGTAAAAAGTCAGTAGACCCATCATATACTAGCAGTGCCATAAATATGAGGGTACTTGAAAATATTCGAGGAAAGATTTGTATTATCCTTCAATTCTATTTTTTCGTGAACTTTTCAAAGTACCCTTGTATTCCTGTTTTACCTCTGTTCACCCCTTTTCCCCCTTTTTCGGAATAATATTTCCATTTATTGGGGCCCCATTGTGATGTGGTTTTAAATGCCAAGGATAAAGCAGACTTTGTATCTTAGTCTTGTTACTACTTGATTCCCTACTTCTATGATATTTATCCTCCAGACTCGAATAAAAAATATTTTTTAAATGAGTGGCCAGTAGGGTAAGTAGCTCTTGGAAAAAATTAATACTGAAAACAGAAATCAGATACCTGGAATGTACATGATTTTATCACCATTTATTTGCACATGAGAAGAGAATATTATAGAGACAATGCAGAAAGTAGCACGTTTAGTTTTGCTTAATCACCTGTTTTCATTTTAAGGAAGAGCATATGTCCACTGGGTTGGCAACGAAGTATAAGCACATGGGAATTGCATAGAATCAATAATAGGTGAAACTTGGACTAGGTTTAACTTTAAGTCCCCTTAGAATTGATGACTTAACAATATATCAGGTAATGATAAATGCTGGTAGAAAAATAAAATAAGAGAAGGAGTTTAGGGTGGGGGATGGGAGGTGATTTGAAAAGTTATGGCCAGGAATGCCTTCACTGAGAGAGTGACGTTCAGCAAAGACTGAAAGAAGGGGTGAGCTGTGCATTCTGTGGAGGAGCATTCCTGGCAGAGGAATGCTGGTGCAAAGGGCCTAGACAGGAACTTGCTTGAACGGGAAGGAGGCCTGTGTGCTTGAAAGGAATGAGTGACAGGGAGAGGAGAGATGAGGTCAGAGAGGTAAGAGGGAGCTTAATTTTAGAGCCTAATCAGTCAATTTACTTGGAGTGAAATATGAAGAATTGGAGGGTTTTGACAGAGGAGCGACATAAGCTGACTTTTGTTTTTTTCCACGTTTTAGTATGAAAATTTTCAAACATACAAAAAAGTTGAAAAGATTTTACAGTGACTTTTGTTTAAAAAAGATCACTTTGGCTGCTATGTTGCCTGGAGGTTAAAGGGTAGAAGGGCTGAAGGAGAGAGACCAGTTAGTAGGAGACTTTTGGAATAATCCAGATGAAAGATAATTTTGGTGGCTAGTTCCCAGACTGGGGTGTAGAAGTGGAGATAGATTCAAGAGATGTTCCATACTGTGTGGCAAGCACTGTTTAAAGTGTTAATTTTACAAACATTAACTCATTCAATTATTGTAACAACCCTATGAGATACATAAGATTATCATTCTCATTTTATAGATGATAAAACTGAAGCCAGGAGAGGTTAAGCATTTTTCCCAAGATAACACAGGTAACAAGTGGCTGAACTAGAATTTGAATCCAGGCAGTCTGGCTACAACAACATTTAGTGTTGGATTTGATGTAAAAGAGAGAGAGTAATTAAGCATAATTCCAGGGTTTCTGGCATGAGCAACTGGAAGAATGACCTAACTGAGATGGAGATGACGGGGGATACTTACATTTTAGAGAGGTGTTTGGATATGTCAAGTTTGAGATGTCTATTAGACATCTAAGTTGAGATATTGTATAGGCAGTTGAACTTAAGCAAGAGTTCTGGGCTAGGGATGTATATTTGGGAATCATTAGTGTATAGATAATATTTAAAACTGTGAGATCACTTTCTAGGCAGTGGTGATAGAGAAGAGAGGAGGTCCAGGGATTAACTCTGGAACATACCAATATTTGGAAATCAGGAAGATGAAGAGGGATCATAAGAATGGCTGTGAGGTAAACCAGACAGTATGACAAGCGAAGAAAATGTTCCAAGGAAGAGGGAACGAGGAACTGTGGGGAGTGCTGCTGCTAAGTCAAATAAGAGGACTGAGAACCGAATGTTGGATTTAGAAATGTGGAGATCATTGATGATCTTGAAGGGCACTTCAGGTGGAGGAGCAGGGAGAGTGAGAGCCTATATCATCTGGATAAAACAGAAAAGGAATGGAAGGAAAATGGAGAAAGGAAGTAGACACAGCTCTTTCCAGTTTTACTAAAAAAGGAAGCAGAGAAGTGGTAGGTATAAAAAGAAATAAAAAAATGTAAATATATAAAAAAAAAAAAATGAAGTGGTTGGTAAATTGCTCTGGCCAGGGTCACCAGTGATCTTGTCATTAATCATCTTCATGTCCTCATTTTTTATCTTAATGACTGCCCAGCAGTGTTTAGCACTTCACCATTCCTTATTTATTTATTTTTTCAATGGACTTTATATTTTAGAGCAGTTTTAGGTTCACAGCAAACTTGAGTGGAAGGTGCAGAGAATTTCCACATACCCTCTGCCACCCCCCCACCCCTATGTACGGCTTCCCTCCTATCAACATCCCACACCAGATGTTGGTACATTTGCTTCAATAAATGAACCTACGGGCCGGCCCGGTGGCGCACTGCTACAGTGCGCCGCTTGGGAAGTGCGGTGGCGCTCCC